AACCATGGCAATGAGACGATATACTATAGAATGAATGTAAAAACAATGTTCTCACATGTAAACTATCACATAAGTCACAATAAAACATTAAAAAACAAAACGTGAAATAAAAGACTAGAAAAATGTTCATAAGAATATTGACTGTGATTCTTTCTGGTGATAAGATTAAAAATAATTTAAATTCCTTCTTTGTGCTTTATATGGTTCTTAACATTTGTTTACAGTGAACATTGGAGAAAGAAAAAGATCTCATAGAAAGAACATTATTCTCTGTTGTTGAACAACAAGACCTTTGTTGCTCCTGCTTGCAGCATCCCTCAGAGGGATGTGATGGGCAGTAGTGTGAGCCTCACATATGTTTTAAAGCCTTAAAATACTGCTGTCATCTCATGTCCTTGCAGGGTACCTCCAGAAGCAGCCTTACTTTGGAGCCGTGGTTGGGAGGGTGGCCAACCGAATTGCGAAAGGAACATTCACCTTGGAAGGAAAGGAATACAAGCTGCCCATTAACAATGGGCCCAACAGTCTGCATGGCGGAGTCAGAGGGTTTGATAAGGTGAGCCAAGGTATTTGACAACCCCACTTGACACTTCACAAAATACCCTCAAACACAGACCTTTTGTTTACCAGGCACAATCCCAGTCCCTAGAGCCTGTAGTAAGGGAGTCCCCTAGTTTTGGGGAGCAATGTGATGGTCATGTTCCAGGACCCATCCTTCTCCAGCTCACCTGACAATAACAGGCAGAGGAGACCGCACAGTAAAGGACAGTAGCCCTTGGATTAGGAAAGAATTTAGGAAGGGTAGGGAACTACTTTCCTACAGTTTTTACGGCAGGCTAATCTTCCTCTCCTCAGTTTCCTCATCTCCAAAATAGGCTAATAATAGTGTATATCCCATAGAAGTATCCCAAAGATTAAATGAATTGAATAGGATCTAGGGGTCAGGTTGACTTGAGTTACAACAGAAAAGTGGATGAATCATAATACCACTTTTTAAATAAAGTATCTCTATTTTTTAAATTCAGTATCTGTAATCCCTACTAGAAACATTTACTGATGAAGATCAAAGAGCACAGCCTTCAGTATGGGTTGCATCTCAGTGTCAGGGAAACAAAAATCCTCACCACTGGACCAATAAACAACATTCTTATCAACAGAGAAAAGATTGAAGTTGTCAAGGAATTCTTTCTTCTTGTATCAACTGTCAACAGTCGTGGAAGCAGCAGTCAAGAGATCAGACGATGTATTGTGTTGGGCAAATCTGCTGCACAGGAACTTTTTAAAGTGTTGAAGAGCAGAGATGTCAGCTTGAGGACTAAGGAGCGCCTGACCCAAGCCATGATATTTTCAATAACGTCATATGGATGCGAAAGCTAGACAGTGAATAAGGAAGATCATAGAAGAATTGATGCCTTTGAGTTGTGGTGTTGGAGGAGAATACTAAAAGTGCCATGGACTGCCAAAAGAACCAATAGATCTGTTTTGGAAGAAGTGCAGCCAGAGTGCTCCTTGGAGGATGGCTAAGCTTCGTCTCTCATACTTTGGAGGCTAGGATGGCTAAGCTTCGTCTCTCATACTTTGGACATATTGTCAGGAGGAAACAGTCGCTGGAGAAGGATGTCATGCTGGGTAAGGTGGAGGGTCAGAGAAAAAGAGGAAGACCCCCAACGAGATGGATCAGCCAGGTGGCATCATTGATGGTATCAAGTGTGGCAGCGGTAGTGAGGTTGGCCCAGGATCGTATATTGTTTCGTTCTGCTGTGCATGGGGTTGCTATGAGTCGGTTCCGACTCGATGGCACCTGACAACAACAACAACCCCTACTAGAAACCTATATTGTCACCAAATGAGAAATCTGAGATCCTGAAAGACCACACAACGTCTAAGTGGGGTAGTCAGGTCTTTCAGGCCCAAAGCCCTCATTCCTACTCTACCCCTGCTGGTGTCCTGCAAGGCTGCTATGGTGCCCCCAATCCACACACCTTCCATTATCTGCTATAAAGTCCCTTCGCATGCACTGGATCACTGCCTCAAGGTCTTCTCTTCCTTTCCCACACCTCAGGTTCTTGCTAATTCCCCCTTTCTACATTAAGATTTCCATTTCCTCAATGAATCCCTGGAAAACACAGTTAGGAATGAAAATATAAAACAGTTTTTCTCTGAGGTAGGAAATGTCTGCCATCCTGCTTCTTAGTTCTGTGGGAGTCTGCGGGTTAACAGGTTAATCCTCCTGTGAGGGAGATCATTTTGGTAGTTAACTTTCCTTTAAATTACATGACCCAGGTTATATCCTAGAGAAGAGGCAGAGGAGGCAGGAACAAGTGTGGCAGCTGGGTACCACAATTTCTTCTTTCCTGCCTCTGACTGCACTTGTCCTACTGAAGGAAGTCTGTCACTGTTTCCCCTCCCCACTGGCTTCCTGTCTATGGCCTGGGACCTGACTGTCCCATCAGTTCTCCTTTTCTCAGCAATGGGTTTCCTCACACCAAGGAGAGCATAAAGGCAGAGAGTAGTGCGTGTTCTGTCAGTGTTAAGGCAGAGGGTCTCTAGAACATTCCACTTGCATAGGCAAACTTCAACCAGAGGAAGTAAAGATCCAGCTCTGTTTTGGATAGGGATTTCCAGAAGAGCCTCAGGACAGTACCTTGTTCTAGCATGTTCCAGATCCATTTCTCTACTCCACTGTGGTATTCTCTGTGATTGTTCTTACTATCTATGTCCTCTGTTTTGTTGTTAAGTGCTGTTGAGTCAGTTCCAACCCATAATGACCCCTATATAGCGTTTCCAAGGAGCAAGTGGTGAGTTTGAACCGAAGCCTTGCTGTTCAAACTAATTTTGCAGTCCAGCACATTAGCCTACAGCACCACACCAGGACTCTTTTGTAAATGTCCTCTATAAACAGCAAAATAGTGAATGTGTATGCCCTTGAATTCAGTATACCTCTTGAACCCCTCTGTGAACCAGGGTGCATAATAGAATTGGAAATACCAAACTAAAGGAGGCACAGAACTGTCTTTTCCTCCTGAAGCTCATAGTAAAGTGAGGGAGGTAGACCCTACAGAATTGTCATAAGGCAGGGCCAACAGCCCCCTAATATAGATGCCAACAGTGTGCTGTAGGAACCAGGTACGGATGGATTAACTACAACTGCGAAGGTGAGATTTGAACTGCCCTTGGAGAAAAGATTGAATTTCATTTAACATATGGATATTAGAGAGCATGGTTGTACAATAGCCTAGCCTGAAGTAGGAAAAGAATTGGAACCCTATTATGGAGTCACTGAGGGTTTTTGAGTAGAATAACATGTATAGTCATAGCAAATGAACTTTGTTTTCAAAATTGTGTTTCTTTTCAACACAGAACTATTTGCCATCTTCAGTTCTTGAGTTTGTTGGCAGAGGATTATTTGATCAACATTAAATGTTTGAAGGAATACCTGTATTTTACTTATGGAATAAGTATAGGTTTGGGAGTATGTGTTTTTCCATTTAGAACAACTCATTTTAAAAGATAAAATTTGAGTAACCTGACAGGATTCAAAATAATATAAGTAGGCTGACCCATTCCCATCAAGTAAATTCTCACCCATAATAACCCTACAGGACAGAATGGAACTGTCTTTTAGGATTTCCAGAGTTGTAAATATTTATGGTAGCATACTGCTCACCTTGTTTCTGCAAAGTGGCTGGTGAGTTCAAACTGCTGGGCTTTCAGTGATCCATAGAGTGCTTTAACCACTGTACCACCAGGACCCCCTATAAGCAGGCCTGTTGTTGTTAAGTGCCATCGATTCAATTCCGACTCACAGCGACCCTAGATAGGGTTTCCAAGGAGCAGTTGCTGGTGAGTTTGAACCACTGACTTTGTAGTTCAAACCGACTTGAGGTCCAGTGCTTATCCTACAGCGCCATACTAGGACTCCATAAGGAGTCCAAGACCTGTAAAATTTCTGGAAATTTGGAAACTACCAGAACAGGAAAATCCTTCTGTGAGTAGAAATGGTACGTATCTGATAGTATTAGTTTACACAAAAAAGCTTTCTATTTGTGTCTTTTTGCTAAAGGAAAAAAACCAAATAGTCCTAAAATATCAGATTGCTAAAATATTTCATGCAGGGGATTTTGTTTTCTTTTGTTAATTACACATGTAACAGGCATCACACTTTAATTGTCTGGGAAGTTCAACATTACTGGGTAATATAAATAAGGGCATAAATTTTGTTTTCCCAAAGTTAATATGTTTCTTTCACATACCAGCTGCTTTCACCGGAGGTGAGAGCAAAGGTCCCACGTTCCCACTGGGCTCCCCTCCTGGCAAATGCAACATCAGTGAGGGAGCCAACCCCTGCCTAGAGTGGGTGGGCAGAGTCTGAGCTCCCAGGCCATTCCGTGGGCCTGTGGAGGTTATCTTTCAAGTCTATTTGGAGGTTATCTTTCAAGTCTAAAAGGAGTCTATTTGGAGGGTATCTTTCAAGTCTAAAAGGAGGCCTGGTTATGGTGCTGTTGAATAAGCCCTTAACTGTTAACACAAGTTCAGCACTTCAAACCCCACCAACTGCTCCTTGGAAACCCTATATAGGGTCACTATGAGTCAGAACAGATTCCCTGGCAATTAACAACACATCTGTTGAAAATGGAAACATTTGCTGAAACAAAGCTGTAGGTAGTGTAGACTACTGTAGATTAATGGCCAAACCAATAATGCAAACAGCCAGCCCTGAATTTGAATCCTAGTTCTATCTGTAATTACATGTATGGTTTTAAGCAAGACTTTTTTTTTTTTTTTTTCCTTTTAAACAATGGTCATAAGTATGAAAGGACTCTGCCTTACTCCCCTGAGATGTGGGAGATGGAAGAGGGCTAATTAACCTCACTGATCTCAACTTGACTCATCTGTAAAGCAAGGGTAAGAATATTAGGTGGAGCTTTAGGAGTTTACCAGTGGTTGTGTTGACCAAGAGAAAATGGCAGTTTCATTTGATTCAACCAAGTCATTTCTTTGCAAGGTGATTTATGTAAAACATTAGGTCAGTGTCTGGTCAGAACTCAACAAATTAGAGGTCTCATCCAGCTACCATACCTGTTCCTGTCCTTTCTGGCTCTGCTTTAGGATATAATATGGGTATGATAATTTACAGGAAATTTAACTCACAAAATTATCTACTTAGCAGCCTGTAATGAAACCAGTGAAAGGATCATTGGGTTAAGCATCAGACTCCCGAGGACCGAGAACCAGGATTCCCCTTCATTCATCTTCTGACAGCATAGAATAAGGAAACAGACACAGGCTGGGGATCAGACAAGTCTGTTCACATCCTGTCATTTACCACTTGGCCTCGGGCAAGTGGTCAGTTCTTCCTGAGCTTCAGTTCTCTGATTAATCACTGAAGATAAATGAGAATAAGTCAAAAGAAGATCATGATACCTACTGCAAGGCTACTGTGAGATAAGACATGACTGACAGATGAGATAGTGTCTGTGAAGTTTCTAGCCTTGTCTCATCATGAGCACTTAGTAAATGGTTTTCCCTCCCCCATAGCGTAGTCTTGGAGTCTCAAGGACAAAATTGAGAGGAACCCAATATTCCTATCCTAAAGCAGAGCCTTTTAAAAGAGATTTTTCTTCATATTGTTAGTATCATATTTTCTAAAACAAGAAAACTCTTTTGAGATCACTTTTTCAACCACTTTATTTATGGAAGGGATTGTTGCTCAAAGCCACACTGTAAGCTAAGGGAAAACCCAAAACAGGATTCCTGGCTTGTTTGCTAGTGTTCTTCCTAAAGGAACAAGTACCTTCTTATTTGTTGTTAGTTATGCCAAGAGAGCATGGAGAACCTCAAAGTGATTTTTATAAGTATTTGCATATAGGACTCCCAGGAAAGATGGTATTAGCAGATATTGTGATATGATATTTACCAGAATTGGGTTCCAAAATAAAAACATATAAAAGAAAAATAAATATGAATTTAATGAGAAAAAGTATGGGGAAGGTAAAGAGAAAAACATTTTTTCCCTCTTAAAAGCCATTCTGTATAAAATATTTAAGAGAATGTAAGATCCAAGGTGTTATTCAAAAACACTAATAATTGATATAACACTTCTCTTTCTAGAATCGTTGTCTTTAAATATTAAAATGTGGCATTTAGCTTGAGACTGGAGTGATCAAACAACTTTGAAAACACTCTCTTTTTTTCTTAGGTCCTTTGGACCCCGCGGGTGCTGTCAAATGGTGTGGAGTTCTCACGCATCAGTCCAGATGGGGAGGAAGGCTACCCCGGAGAACTAAAGGTCTGGGTGACATACACACTTCACGGCGGGGAGCTTGTGGTCAACTATAAAGCACAGGCCAGTGAGACCACACCAGTCAGTCTGACCAACCATTCTTACTTCAACCTGGCAGGCCAGGTATGTGAACTTGCTGCTTCTCTCCTGCTGTAACCCACATGAACTTAACAACAATTATTTGTCATCCACTGTTAAAAAAAAAAAATACTTTTATCATAGTCATTGAGAAAGACACTGACATTGAAATCAATCCAGGAATTGATCTCCAGTGGGAAAACACATAAAATATGCACCTAAAATTGAGTGTAGAGACAAACCCCCATTCCCTCCTACAATGGTAATATTTTAGCTTGTTGAAGAAGACACATGACAGAATTGCAAGTTTAAATGAACTCTGTAGATTTTATCTATCACTTCCTCTTTATCTACAGAACTTGTCATTACCTAAGATACTTGAATCATGTATACATGCTTTCCAACCACAAGGCAATGTTCAGGACTCTTCTCCTCGTCCCCAACCACAGGGCAATGTTCATGGTATTCCCCTCATTCCCTCCAAGTGTAATATTTTTCGCTTGTTGAAGAAGACCCTATCCCGTGACAGACTAGAAAGCTTAGCTGAGCTCTGAATATTTTATCTGACACTGCCTCTTTATCTGGAGGGCTTTCATCTTGTATGATACTTGAATCTTGTATGCATGATTTCCAACCACAGGCCATGTTCACAGCTATCCCATAATATCTTATATTTTTACACTTTTAGGAGTTTGCTGATTTTTTTTTCCTAGGATCTACTCAAGTAGTATGAGTTGCTGTGGTTAGGTGCCTCTGAGTTGGTTCCAGCTCATATCGAGCCTATGCACGACAGAATGAAACACTGCCCAGTCCTGCACCCGCCTCACAATTGTTACGTTTGAGCCCATTGCTGCTGCCACTGGGTCTATCCATTCCCTTGGAGGTCTTCCTCTTTTTTGCTGAACTCTTCACTTTTCTAAGCATGATGTCCTTCTTTAGGGACTGGTCCCTCTTAATAACATATTCACTGTATGAGAGACAAATCTCGCCATCCTGGCTTCTAAGAAGCATTCTAACTGTACTTCTTCCAACAAAGATTAGTTTGTTCCAGCAGTCCATGGTACTTTTAATATTCTTCTCCTACACCATGATTCAAATGCATCGGTTCTTCTATGATCTTTTTTATTCACTGTCCAACTTTCACAAGCATATGAAGCTATTAGGAAAGATGCACTTTAGTCCTCAAATAGGTATCATTGCTCTTCAACACTTTAAAGACGTCTTTAATCTGCAGCAGATTTATCTAATGCAATATGTTGTTTAATTTCTTGACTGCTGCTTCCATGAGTGTTGATTGTGGATCAAGTAAAATGAAGTCTTTGACAACTTTACTCTTTTCTCCAGTGGTGATGATTTTTGTTTATTTCACATTGAGGTAAAATCCATTACTGAAAGCTGTAGTCTGTTATAAGAGCTCATTGGCTGTATATTAGTTCCATAATTCTGTGTGCAGAGTAACACTGCTCCGGGGGCACTGCCTGGGGAGACAGTTACTCCAAAGAATATCACAGAGTTGGCAATTAGCACCCACCAGCCATTTCACAGCAGAAAGATGAGACTTTGCTCCTGCAAAGATTCACACACAACCTTAGAAATCCTGTACAAGCTCACTATGAGTCAGAACAGACTTGATGGCACTTAACAACAACAGCAAAGAAGCACAGTGTAGTTTCTGAAGTCTTAAAAGCTTGTAAGCGTACATCCAAGACCCAACACTTGGTCTGTTTCTGAAGCAGCTGCAGCAGCAGGAGAGCTGGGAACAGGAGGAGGATTTGGAATGTGTAGCTAATTGCCTCCATGAACAACGGCCTCTTTTGCTGAGACCAGAACAGCTGCTCACTATTTTGCTCAATGATTCCAGAGAAAAATCCTGTAATAGTGAGGACTTTGAAAATAAATTAGACCAAAAATAAACTTAATATAGATAGAAATTTTAATAGCTTTATTAAGTAATGGATTATGGTGATTTTTTCCTACTTGTCTGTACTGTACTATAATTGAGAGATCCTATTTTATAAAGTATTTTAAAGGAAGAAAAATAGAAAAAGAAATTATTTATGAAGTATTACATCTGCCAATATGTTTCAATGAAGGAGACGAAACAGGAGGGTAGGACTCCTGGAAGTACTTTCTATTTACCTGGCAAGAGGACCCTCTTGACCATGATTTTTCATCCTTTCAGTCTGTTCTCAAAGGCTGAATGGTTTCCCAGATCATAGACCTCACTTGGGAGGTTGTCAATGAATCTCCTTTCCTTGTATGATCTTAGATAAGTGCAGCTCAAATCCATAGCCACTAGCTTGAGGATTGCGTATAGGCAGGGACCTCCAGCCTTTTAGAACATTCAGGTAGGATTGGATCATCATCAGGCCTGGGATAAAGGGGACTCTTCATCTCCAGTCCTGTCCTAACAAAAGAAGCAATATCAGCTGTCCCAGGGTTATCATTTCTGGGGAAATAGCTTAAAACTTGATGTTTAAAGTAGTCACTCACCTTATATATTTTTATTTGTTTACAAATATTCATTTGCTGGGCAGTATTTCTGTTCTACTTGGGCCCCAAGCATTGACAATATATCACTTCTAAGTTTACATATTGGGGATATTGAGAATGTGGGGGAAGGGGGGGCTGTGTTTTTCAATGGAAAACAGTGTGTAAGTTGTAGTTTGGTTTTTTGTTGGGGGTTTTTTCCCCCCCTCTTCTTTGCTATTCTCTACTATACCTAACACAAAACTGGAAAAACCTGGTTTTTATTGAAATTTTATCTAAAGAACTGTGAAAACAGGCCTACGTGATTTTGAAATGGAAAGCAATAGCATTGGGCAGATGTAACTGGGTCATTATATCATTAAAGGCCCATATACTTCCATCTTTCCATTCTGTTCCCTCCTGGTTTGACATTTTGTTGTTGGTTTTTTTTTTTCTTCTTCTTCTTTTTCTTTTAAAGCTTTTATTGTGAATTGAGTGATAGTTTACATGGGAGAACATAGGTTTTGCACTCATCTATTGTATTTTGTTTCATTGCAGCGATTACAATCCCCTCCATGCATCATCATTTAACAGTACTGTTTTAGCTTTTGACTTCAGGCTTGTTCACTTATGGTCTCAAGAGGACTGGCACAACTCTAGGAGTCACCTCCTTATGTAGTCATACCAAGAGACAAAAAAGGACTTATTTCTTTTATCTATCTCTACTATCCTCTTTTTTTTTTTCTTTTAAGTTTTTAATGTGAATTGTGTGATAGTTTACATGGGAGAACATCGGTTTTACACTCATCATTTCATTGCAATGATTGCTATCTCTTTTGTGCATCATCATCCAACAGTATTTGCTTCTATTTCCTCTGTTTTTATTTTGTTTTGTTTTGGGAGGGGTGTACACAAAAACACTCAAGAATATATAATCATTTAAATAATCCAAGAGCACATTCTGCAAGCCTGCCTCCTGGCCGCCAACACACAGCCTTTCTCTTTCCATGAATCTAGAGTCCTCAGCTGCTCTATCTCTTCATGCCATCACCTCTGCCTCTATCTCTGGTGGTTGCTGCTTCTTACAATAGGGTACCATATTCCACTCGTGCTCTTCTCCCTTGATGGTCCTAGGGTCCACTGTTCCTGAACTGTAAGATTAATTACTCCCCCCTTTTGTTACAAAACTTCTTACAGTTTTGGCAGTCACAATTAGTCATTCTACTATTCTCTTTTTAAGAACAAGAAAAACCTTTCCCAGAAGCCCCTAATCTGACATCCTTCATTTCATTGGCCAGAAGTATATCCCATGCCTTGCCTAACCCAGTCATAGAAAGGGAATGAGACCATCATTCTAGGCCAATCAGAATTCACTTTCTGGGACTACGGAAGGGATCTCCTTCTTTAAAATGCTGTTGTTAAATGCCGTTGAGTTGGTTCCAACTCAGTGACCCTGTATAAGGTTTCCAAGGAGTGGTTTCAACCTTGAGGTTAGCAGTCCAGTGCTTATCCTACAGCACCACACCAGGACTTCCTTAAATATATGGCCTAAAATAGGATGAATAAACAAATCAGGATTCTGTCAGGAGTAAGCAAGTATGCTCCTAAAGGGGTTGCTTTGACTTGTGGGTGATAGCCAATAGTGTCTGTTATAACCTGCTAAAGGTGATAAGAGCTGAATTAAGGCCATGGTAATGACAATGAACTAAAAGGTCTTTGAAGCCCAATGCAAGCCGTAATACAAAAAGTTCATGGAAAAATACAATGAGCAGATAATGGAATTCTTCCATAAACTTTTTGAAACTCCCTTATATTATGTAAATGGTTAATATTACAGAACTAGTAAAAGCCAACCAAAACAAACATTGAACTCAGAGATGGGTCTCAAGTTCTATTTGTGAATCAACATTTCTTGCCAAGTTTTCATCAACCTTGAAGGGAAACAGATCCAATAGTTACATTCCACTGGAGTAGGTCTTGCATTTTTCCAGATAGACAGAGTCATAAAATGAAGCATGTAATGAAGATATGTTAGTTTACCTAGTGACCTGAATGGCCACTGAGTTAGGGAATGCTCAATACAGGTACCTTTCTCCTCCCAGGCATTTTCCTAGCATCTCAGACTCATCTCCTTAATTGGTGTGTGATTTTTCATACTCAATCGTTAGCTTCCTGCCCTAGTGGTAGTGAACCATGGAATCTGTTCCAACTCATAGAGACCCTGTATAGAGTTTCTGAGGCTGTAAATCTTTATGGGAGCAGAAACCCTCATCGTTCTCCTGCAAAACAGCTGGTAGTTTTGAACTGCTGACCTTGAGGTTAGCAGCCCAACTTGTAACCACTATGCTACCAGAGCTCCTTGACACAAACAATAGCATGGATGAATCTAAAAAGCATTATTTTGTGTGAAAGAAGCAAGACACAAAAGAAAAAATACTGTATCAGTCCACTGACATGAAGTTCTAGAATAGGCAAAATTCGTGTCAAATAGAAATCAGAACAGTTCTTGTCTTTGGTGGAGGCTGGGTATCAATTGGAAGGAGACTTAAAGCAGCAGTGGAATGTTCAATATTGTGATCGGGAAGCACCTACAAAAAAGGCTTTTAAAAGTTTGTAGAGAAAAATCCATTATCTTTTAATTCCATTTTCCCATAAACTTTTAGACGCTCCCTTGTATTTATCAAAGCTCAGAACTATTCCCCGAAAATCTGCATTTTATTATTTGTAAATTACGTCTTAAATATGTGTTTTTATAAATATTTACTTTATTATTTTTTTTAATATGTTCTCATGAATTATGTGATAGTTTACATGGGAGAACATTAGTTTTACATTCATCCTATCGTATATCGTTTCATTGCCTGGTTACAATCACCTCCATGCATCATCAACCATCAAAGGGTACACCCTGCAAGCTTGCCCCTCGGTTGTCAGCACACCGCCCCTCTCCCTCTCTGGGTCTAGAGTCCCCAGCCAAGATTTACTTTATTTTTTAAAAAGAATGGCTGCACCTGAGGAAACAGTGTGGAGCCCTGAATGAATGTGAGGCCAGGAACCCAGAGAAAGACCTTGTCTACTCCAGCCTCCAGCTCTATAGGTGGCACTAGAGAGCTCACAGGATTTCTTAGATATTAAATTTGTAGTTCAAACTCACTAGCCACTCCTTGGAAACTCTATACAGGGTTGCTATGAGTTGGAGTCGACTCTATAGCACTTAACATCAAAAACAATAAAGTGATAAAGTTCTGGCATGGTGCTATAAGATAATCATTGAACTGCTTAACCACAAGGTCAGTGGTTCAAACTCACCAGCCGCTCCTTGGAAACACTATACAGGGTCGCTATGAGTTGGAACCAGTTGCAGGCACTTAACACCAACAACAATGAAGTGATAAAACATGAAGCTACCAACATGGGATGAAGTTATTTCTAAGAAAAGACATTGTGTCCCTTAAAATATTTTTGTGTGTAAAGAAAGGATACAGTTGCTTCTCTCTGGGACTCTTCACTCTCTACATGGGCCTTGGTGACTGCCATCTCATGATCATTCGAGAATAAAACACTGCCTGATCCTGGGCCATCCCCATGATAAATTGTGGATCAGACCATTGTCATCCAAAGGGTTTTCACTGACTGATTTTCTGACTAGACCACAGGCTTTTCTTTCTAGTCCATTCTAATGTGGAAGCACCAGTGAACGCCTGTTCAGCGTCATAGCAGCATGCAAGCCTCCACTGACAGTACATGAAGATGCACTGGCTGGAAAGTGAACTCAGGTCTCTAGCATGGAAGTCAAAAATTCTGCCATTGAATACCCCAGCAAATCATCTGTGTCCATTCCCCGTCTTCCCAGAGGCCTCTTTGGTGCCATCACCACCCCTGAGTCAGGAGAGAGATGGGAGTAGGGAGAATTTCACAAGAAAGGGACCCTCTACTCTAGACCTGACAGTGTTTCTTTGCTATAATGGTTTAAAATTAAGAAAGATGTGCGACATGGTTATATTCTTTCACCATACTTAGTCAATCTGTACGCCCAGCAAATAATCCGTGAAGCTGGGTTATATGAAGAAAAACGTGAAATCAGGACTGGAGAAAGACTCATTAACAACCTGCGATATGCAAAAGATACAACCTTGCTTGCTGAAAGTGAAGAGGACTTAAAACATTTACTGATGAAGATCAAAGAAAACAGCCTTTGGTATGGATTACATCTCAATGTAAAGAAAACAAAAGTCCTCACCCCTGGACCAATAAACAACATTCTTATCAATGGAGAAAAGATTGAAGTTGTCAAGGACTTCATTCTTCTTGGAAGCAGGAGTCAAAAAATCAAAGGACATATTGCATTAGGCAAATCTGCTGCACAAGACCTTTTTAAAGTGTTGAAGAACAAAGATGTCAGTTTGAGGATTGAGGTGTGCCTGACCCAAGCCATGGTATTTTCAGTAATCTCTTGTGCATGAAAAAGCTGGACAGGGGATAAGGATGATCATAGAAGAATTGATGCTTTTGAGTTATGGTGTTGGAGGAGAATATTGAAAGTGTCATGGGCTGCCAAAAGAACCAACAGATCTGTTAGAAGTGCAGCCAAAGTGCTCCTTAGAGGCCCCAGGATGGCCAGACTTTGTCTCTCATACTTCGGACATATTGTCAGAAGGAACCAGTCACTACTGAAGGATATCTTGTTTGGTAGGGTGAAGGATCAGAGAAAAAGAGGAAGACCCCTAGCGAGATGGATTGCCAAAGTGGCAGCATCAAAGAGCTTAACCGTAGCAACAGTTGTGAGGTTGGCCAAAGACGGGACAGTGTTTCATTCTGTTTTGCATAGGGTCACTATGAGTTGATACTGATTCAGTGGCACCTAACAACAACAACAACTCAAGACCTCTCCAATTTTGGATCTGCCTGCCCCAGATTAGAACAGGAAGTAAACAGCATCTAGATAGGAAGTATGGGTGGAAGAGAGATCTCTGTCCTGGTCTTGTCCCTCATCCATTCTTAACCCTGCTTTGCCTGTACCTACTTAGAGAACTACAAAGAGGATCAAGATTCCAGTTGTGCTGTTCTTTAGAAAGAACTTCTCAGTGCAATTAAACCCATTTCTGTTTAATTGTTGTTGTTGTTATTGTTGTTAAGTGCCGTCGAGTTAGTTCCGATCCATAGCAACCCTGTATAGGGTTTCCGAGGAGCAACTTGTGAGCCTGAACTACCAACCTTGCGCTTCCAACCAACTTTGCAGTCTAGTGCATTAATGCAGTTGATTCTGACTCATAGTGACCCAGTATAGGGTTTCCAATGAACAGCTGGTGGATTTGAATAACCGATGTTGTGGTTCGCGGTATAGTGGTGATCTCACAGAGTCACACCAGGAGTCTCTGTGCTTGCTTCCCAGGAACTCAACAGATACTGTAGGTTAGCTCAGCTCATGGTTTCTCAAACATGGCACCAATGCCCTTTTATATTGGATAGTTCTATGCTGTGGGACTATCTACTGTTTTATAGAATCCCTGGTTATCTACATACTAGATGCCCAGTAGTATACCAGCATACCCACCTCCCAACAGACCAAAAATGTCTTCAGACACTGCCAAGTGTTCCTGGGGGAGAGGGCTATGCAGCAAAATCCCCCACAGTTGAGAACCAATGGCTTAGTTTCTTTTTGAGCATTCACTAAGCAAAACTCACCTATTTCTTCTTCCTCATCTCCTGCCATGAAGCTTTAAAATATACTACTATTAATAATAAAAATAATCTTTTGAATTAGAAACATACATGTGTAAAAGATTTTCCCATTTGTAAACATCACAACATACCTTTACTTAACTGTTTCTCACAAGAACGCTGGAAGTGCCATTATCCCAATTTTACATCAAAAGATATAAGATTCTCAGAGATCAAGTGACTTCTCCAAGACCATTCAGTGAGAACCAGAACTAGACCCCAAGCCTTCTGACCACTGACCAGTGTTTTTTAGTTTGTTTGTTTGTTTCAGTAGCCTTTGGGTCCCTCAGGAAGGCAGGCTGCATCTTTATGTAGCAGATAGGCAATCTCCCCAAAGCAGGGACCCTGTCTGACTGCGGTGCTTCCACCATATGGCCAAGAGTGGATCCTCTGGGTAGAAACCAAGCCCGACGAGGGATGGTAGATGGGCCTCCTCTAGTGAGCCTGGGTCTGGTGTCTTGGTTATCCAGGACCTGTGTGAAGACTGTTCACTGACCCTCACTTTTCTGGCTTCCCGGCAGATGAAGAGAGCTGAAAATATCCATCTGTTAATGAGAAGTCCTGGTCTGGTGCTGTAGGATAAGCACTAGACTGCTAAACACAAGGTTGTTGGTTCAAATCCACCAGTCGCTCCTTGGAAACCCTATACAAGGTAGCTGTGAGTCAGACCCGACTTGACCACACATAACAACAACGATAAACTGAGGTCTAAAAGGCTTTCATTCAAACTCTGGCTTTTCACCGTCACAATTCTATTTAGAAAAAAAGGTACATACTGGTGCCATACTTCAAAGTATGCTCTAAATTTATCTGTTGCTATTTTGAGGCCCTACCTACCTACATGTAAGTGAACATATTTAATGTGGCGCTGTAGAATAAGCACAGGGCTGCTGATGATAAGGTGGACAATTCAAACACACCAGCCGCTCTCCTCAGAAACCCTATACAGGGTGTCTCTGTGAGTTGGAACTGACTCAATGGCACTTAACCACCACCACCACCACCATAGGCTAAATAAGATTTTTTAAAAAGTTTTTGTCACTGTCTTAAAGTATTTCTGTAAGAGAAATTCTAAAGCAAATATATAAAACCAGTTTAAGCATTAAGTTTTTTCTTTTTCCACTTTTTTCCTTCCAGGGTTCTCCAAATATATATGACCATGAAGTAACTATAGAAGCTGATGCTTTTTTGCCTGTGGATGAAACCCTGATTCCTACAGGTTGGTGAATTTAGAATATCAAGGTGTATAGAGCTGGAGTATGTTTTGGGGAGCACTGACAATGTCATTTACACAAAATAATTCTCCTGGCCTACCAAAATGCCTATAATTGTCATTATTAGTCATTTATTTTTGTTCAGGTTAGGTGACCATATAATTTATCACCCAAACCAGGGTACTTTTGATCAGAAAAGGCATTCTGTTAATAATTAAGCCAGGGCAACAACATGAACTAGGAAAGTTCCAAGCAAACTGAGTCAAACAGTCACTCTTACTGAAGCATTAGACTTAAGAAGTTCTCTGCTAACAGGTACATCTGTTACTTCTTAGCTCCTCAGCACAGACTACTTTGCCTAAACATAACCTCACAAATGCAGGACACTGATAGGCCACCATGCAGTTTTGGGTAGAGGAGGGGAGGATATAGACACGCGGCCTCTGAGACACAATCGGGCTCTGGTGGGGAAGGTGAGGGCACTGTGCCGCCAAAGTCAGATTTCATGTATGTGTGTGTGTCTCCTGGGTTAACTTCATGAAGATCGTCTTGCTTATAACTAATTTGGGATAAAAAGAACCTTGGTTCAAATAGGCAAATTTATAGTGACAGAGGGTAGGTTAGTGGTTACCAGGGACTGAAGGAAAGGGGGAATGAGGAGTGACTGCTAACAGATACAGGGATTCTTTTGGGGTTGATGAAAATGTTCTGAAACATCCTAAATATATATTGTTGTTGTTGTTAGTGTTGTTACATTAGTTTCTACTCATAGTGACCCAATATAGTGTTTCCAAGGAGCTGATGGTGGGTTTGCAAAAAATCCAGAAAATCATGTCCCTTTAAAGGATTAATTTTATGGTATATCTGCTCCCGTTAAGATTTACAGCCTCAAAAACCCTATGCAGGGGGGCTGTGCATCTGACAGCACCTCACAAAACAGCAGCATGAACTGTAACTCAGTTAAAAAACAAAACCTCAGTTTACATTGTTATCTCCAGGACTGAGTGGTGTGTAGTTTTATGCCATTTCATAGGTACACACTCATCTACCTCCAGGGGTCTGGTGGAGAACAGTCAGGTGTCCAGCAGGGATACTGGTATCATTTGTGGCAGCTTATGAAAAGTAATTTGGTGTAACTACCTCAACCAATTGTCATGGATTTTATTCCAGCTTATGGCGACCCTGTGTGTGTCAGAGTAGAACTGTTCTTTATAGGATCCTCACTGGCTAATTTTTTTGGAAGTAGAACACCAGCTCTTTCTTCCAAGGTACCTCTGGGTGGAATCAAATCACCAATCTTTCAGTTAGCAGCTCAGCACATTGACCAATTGCACCACACAATTATCCCAAAGCAGTAGATAAATGTTCTCACTGAAATTTTACTGAAATCAGAGATCAGGTGAGGGTCAAGCGCAGAATCAAAGAGAACTAAAGTAAACTAAGTAGGAGATGAAGGGAAAGAAGAGTAAAAATCTTGAAAGAACAAGTACTGTCATCAATTCTCCCCCAGGAGTGCCAAGGCCCTTGGGCTACCATTTGGTGGCCAAGGTCTCCCAATTGCAGAGCTCTGCCTGTGTCTACCAGTGACTCTCAGAGGTGTTGCCTTATTGCTCCATTGTCACAGTTGTTATTGTTGTTGTTGTTGTTGTTAAGTGCTGTCGGTCAGTTCTGACTCATAGTGAACCTGTAGAGGGTTTCTGAGGAGCAGCTGGTAGGTTTAACCACAGACCTTGCAGTTCAAACGGACCTTAAGGTCCAGTGCTTATCCTACAGCACCACACCAGGACTGCATTGTCAGAGTATGCGTTTGGGGAGTTCCAGTCTCTCAGGGCTCTCTTATAGAACCAGCCCTTTCTGAACCCTCTCTGATGGTTACATGAAGGTTAGGAAAGCCTTTACCCTTTTGTTTCTTTCTCATATAAAGGTGCTGCTATATTAGTTGCCCTTCCAGTTCCATTAAAGAGCTTAATATGATATAAAATGAGCAATTCAAAGGCAAGGACACCATCTTCACCAAGGAATCAAGGTTTTCATCACCATTAAGAGACGTATGCACATCACATGCCCACTGATACGATGCGCTAAGAAAGCTCATCACTTGTATGCTGTTCTGGCCTATACTGCATCACCATACTCCAATCAGGAGAAAACATGACACAATGTCAATAAGAGACATTTTACAAAACAACTGGCCAGTACTCTTAAAAGGAAGGAACTCTGGTAGTATAGTTGTTATAAGTCAGGCTGCTAACCTCAAGGTCAGCTAGTTGGAAACTACCAGCGGTTCCTCAAGAGAAAGATGAGGCTTTCTGCTCCTGTAAAGATTTACAGCCTCAGAAACCATATACAGGGTTGCTATGAGTTGGAACCGACTCAACGACACTCCACCACCACTCTTCAAAGGAGTCCTGGTATTATGGCACTGTATGATAAGCACTGAACTGCTGATCTCAAAATCTGAAGTTCAAACCCACCAGGCACTCCTCAGAACTCTATACAGGCTCGCTGTGAGTCAGACTGATTCGATGGCACTTAACAACAACAACAAGGAACCCTGGTGGTGTCATTGTGCTTCTAACTACAAGGCCAGCAGTTCGAGTCCACCAGCCACTCCTTGGGAGAAAGATGAGGCTTTCTGCACCTAAAAAGATCCTGTGCAGAGTTACTTATGAATTGGAACCTATTCAGAAGCACACAACAGTAGCAACAACACAAGACATAGTAGAACTGCCCCATAGTTTCCAAAGCCATAAATCTTTAAGCAAGCAGTCGGCCACATATTTCTCCCAGTTTCAGACTGCTGACTTTTCAGTTAGCAATTGAGTGCTTAACCACTTTGCCACCAGGCCTTCTTTTTGAAGAGCTGTAAATGCTATCTAGTTGGTTCCGACTCGTAGACACCCTATATAGGATTTCCCAGGAGAGCGGTTAGTAGATTTGAACCGCCAACCTGTGCTTAGCAGTCCAGTGCTTATCCTACAGCACCACACTAGGGTTCCTTAGTGGTTATGTGCCATGGAGTTGGTTCCGACTCATACCAACCTGGCATAGGGTTTCTAATGCTATAAATCTTTACGGAAGCAGAAAGCCTCATCTTTCTCCTGTGGAACGCCTGGTAGTTTTGAACTGCTGACCTTGAGGTTAGCAGCCTGACTTGAAACCACTCAACCACTCATACCAGAGTTCCTTGGGGTTACTCTAAGTTGGAATCAACTCATCGACAATGGGTTTTAAAAGTGTCAAAGTCATAAAGAGGCATGACAAGTAAATGCAATGTGAGATTCAGTGTTGAATCTCAAACTAGAGAAAAAGGGCATTCGTGGGAAAACTGGAGAAATCCTAGTAAAGTCTGTAGTTTTTAATAGAATTGAACCAATGTTAATTTCTTGGTTTTGATAATTCTGCCATGTTCATGTAAGATGTTAACATTAGAGGATGCTGGATAATGGATAAATAGAGATATATTCTTTTTGCAACCTTCTATAAGTCTCAAATGATTTCAAAATTTATAAAAAGAAGCACAAAAATAAAAGCTGTAAGTTAGATATATTGGACATCTGCCTTATGTTAGGTAACGATTTTTGTTTTATTTTGACTCCCTTAACACAATTGTGTTACATTTATGACTGCTAGTTCCAAAATTTTATAGAGAATAAAGATAAGAATGTAAGCCTGCATGCTAAACGTCAACTTCAGATAAAATCTCAGGAATTGGAAATGCCCATAAAAGCAGTGATTACAAAAATAATTAAAATTGGAGATATGGAGATATCTGGAGTCCCTTTCTTGGCATCCCTGTTTTGAGTGTTTTTCCTGGTCGCAGGCCTGGGTTGAAGACTTCTGTGTTAGTTTGTCTTGGTAATGTGAGTCAACTTCTTTTATTTACATAGCTCTAGTTGAGCATGGTAAGTGGTCCCATCTAGATTTACACTGATTGAATTAGAATGACTGGTTGTGAGCATCAAGGAAAGAATCATGTCGGGCTGTTTTGTGACTAATAAAGAAAAACGTGAGTTAAGTAGCTTATAAGTAGAGGTTATTAAATAAGTGCCTATTTATTTATGATTCATACAAATATTTGTAATTTAAATAAATATAATTTACATTTATAAAATCTATGCTCTTCTTCTGGACCACAAAATGCATCATTCCTGCCAAGTGGAAGGTTATTTGTCACAATTGTAAGAGATCTTGTGGCATGCCCAGTAGAGCTTCTGATGCAATCCATGTTACATACAAAGCTCTCACATTAGCCTCAATCCTACACTGAAAGTCCTATGTTGTTGCTGTTGTTAAGTGACATTGAGTCAATTCTAACCCACAGCAACTCAGTATAGCATTTCCAAGGAGAAGCTGGTGACCTTGAACCATGCAGTTCAAACGACTTTGTAGTCTGACACATTAGTCCACAGCACCACACCAGAAGTCCAAAAATCCTATATCTTCTCCTAATATAGAGGATCACTATGCATCGGAACCAACGCAGTGGTACACAACCACCACCAATTTAACAGCTGTTCAAAATTAGGAAAATCCTGTATCTTGTCCTAATTTTGAACAGCTGTTAAATTGGTGGTGGTTATGTGCCACTGAGTTGGTTCCAATGCGTAGTGACCCTCTATAGGGTTTATGAGGCTGTAAATCTTTATGGGAGCAGAAAGCCTCCTCTTTCTCCCATGGAGCAACTGGTAGATTTGAACTGCTGACCTTGCAGATAGCAGCCCAGCTCATAATCCATTATATACGCTACCAGGGCTCCTTAGCTCTGGAGTAGGAGCCACTTTAGACTCTGGGAAGCAAGGGTCCTGACTTAGCTTTTACCTATGGGACTTTCAGTCCTTTCACATTTAACTTTTTTAAGATTCTCATTTCCTATGAATGCAAATAGGAGGGCTATTGAACTAAATCAGAGTTTATGATGGATCCGTTTCCTTAAAAAAGAATTCAGGAAGTTGACAAGGAGTTGCCCAACTTTTTGTTTTGCCAACCTGTGTTGTTGTTGTTG